GCTGTTAAGGGCCATGCTGTGTAGGATGAGAGGCTGATGGGGTGTGTGTGCGCTCATGCATGCGAGCACACGCATCAGTCAGGACCTAGGCACGGAGCTTTTTCTTACTAATTGGAAGTAAGTCTCAAGGACTTTCCTGTATGAGCTGGGTTTGAACCAAGATCCACAGACCTCAGCCTCCTGAGTAGGTAAAGTGACAAGCATGAGTCACCAACACCAGGCAGGTCCTTTCTATCTGCTGGAAATTTCAAGCTCAGGGGAGGAGGAAACTATCCAAAAGTTCAGGAGTCCTGGGAAGGAAGACAAAGGTGCTACAATAATATAACATGTAGGGTCAAGCGATCCCACAGTGAGTTCCACCTTGATGGGTTTGGGAAACTGGAAACCAAGGGTGTTTTTGCAGTCATTTCAAGGAGAAACTGGATAATAGCTGCTTGAGGATTAGAAGTTTAAGCTCCAGACCTCACAGAGCAAAGGGGTATGGGGCAGAAGAATTCTAAGGGGGTGACACCTGCTGAGATCCTTGAGAAGTCGGACAGCAGTGTGGTCACAAGGGATCTGAAGTCAGGTAGACCTAGATCCAGAGCTAGGTCCCCCTCTAGACCTATTGCCTAGTCTATCACGTGGGAACAATACTGCCAGCCATCCTGGGTGGCAACAGGGACCAGGACAATCCAGACAAGAGCTGGAGATCTTACCAATGAGCTCTAGGTGAGCTACAGCTATTAGTGCCACTCACATGGGGTGCTCAGACAGCCTACTGAGCACAGGTGGACTCCTTTGTCCCCAGGGATGCTGCTCAGCCCCACCCTCTATTGAATGGACACATTCAACAAGACAGGAACAGCTTAGGGCCTTCCCTAAGATTGGAATTACTGTCCCGGTGCAGATGGGGAGCCTGTAACTTAGAGGTTACTGTGTCATCAAAGCCTCCAATGAGGAGCCTGGGACTCTGCAGAATGGATTGCTTGTAACACCTGTGGGTGTTACAGTGAAGATGGAACCCGCAGGACAGACACTACCAATCACAATGGTGCTGATGAAGCCACCTGCTAGACTCTTCTGGACAAACATAAGCCTGGTACTGTCCAGGCTTGTTCTCCAGTCCCTTTGCCCAAGTCCAGCCTCCCTTCAATAAGACCACACAGTCAACAGGCTAGAGATGCAAGCTCTCTCTGCAGCAATGTAGGCAGCTAATGAAGAAAACAAAACAAAGCAAAAAACCATAAGCCCACAGGTCGACTACAAATGGAAATTCACATCCAGACCCACATCAATGGCTGAGCAGTTAAATGCCTATCCTTGGCACATCAGTGTTGAGAAGTAAAAGTGCCAAGGACTGTTGCACTGGTTCTAGAACCTAGAGAGCTGTCTTACCAATTTGTGCCATTTTGTGGTAGGAAGGAAGTAACTGGGAACAGGTAACCTTATCATTGTGTTACCTCTGCAAACCAGCTGGCTTTCTTTGACCAATAACACTGGCAATTTAGTTTTATCAGTCCCTGGACAAGTGTCCAAGAACAAAATACAAAAATCACCCACTGATTTAACAGCTATCCATCAAACACCAGCTCTACTGAAGGTCCTGAGGGGATACTAGGGATACAATAGAAATCAAGCATTGAGCCTGCCTTCAGGACGCTAATTATTGAATAGATGAGGGAGATGAACAAAATGCCTTAGTGCCTTTCCATTTGTGCTATACTAGATCATGGGCACAGGTGGTCCTCCATCTCCAAGTGGCAGCCTACAGGCAAGCCCTCGGGTGACAAGAGACATTTAAAAATAAAATTAATGTGATTTTGATTTTTTTGTAAGCTATGAAAGTAGGTGATTGCCTAGGGGTGTGGGAGAGGGATCAGAATTTCATTGGAATTCCTCAAACTCACAGGTTAATGCTGCCTTTATTTGTAATCACATATTAATGGGAGGCTATTCAATGCTCAGAGCCTCTAGATTCAAACAAAAGTAGCTATGCTTGAGAATAACGGAAGGTAGAAAACTTGAAACCTTGGTGGCTGCCTGCTGAGGAAAGAGCTGAGGTTCTCTCCCAAAGTTCTGGGCTGGAGAACCGAGGAACCCTGGAGGGGAGAAGCCAATGTGTTTGCTTTGAAAGGGGAGTGAGATATCCAGAGCCAGCCAGATGTATGCGCTGTCTGGATCCAGAGTTCTCATGGGCTTGGAGGCCAATAGACATTTATTAGGCAACAGCTTGGCAGGACAAATCTGTCTGGAAGCTTCAGAGAGAGTAGTAGAAGGATGGGCAGGAATGAGCTCACCCAGGGAGTAGAGTGAAGGGCAGGGAACAGAAGGCTGAAGACACCCTACGGTAAATGCTGGATTTAGAGGCTGAGGAAGCTCACTCAAGAGATGGAGGGAGGAGAGAAATCAGTGAAATACGTTGTCCCCAAAGGCCAAGGAAGAGAACTCAGAAAAGGAGTGGTCCAAAGTGTCCAAAGCTATAGAAAGGAAGAAGAGGCGAACAAGGAAAGGATTTAGCAAGGAAGATGGTCATCTGTAATCTCTTCTAGAATGTTCCAACACAATCCTGAGAACAGAAGCCAGACCGCAGGAGTGACTGGAAGTAGAAAGGTCAGAAAAGACCCCTTTGAGAGCTGACACTATCAGGGATGGGCTGGTGGCCACAAGAGGTCAGGAAAGCCAAGAAGTCCCTTTGGCTTGTTTCACAGTGAGATGTTCCTTACTTACAGATCAAGGAGAAACCTGTTACAAGGGAATGTGTGAGGCATGGCAAGAAGGAGTTGAGGGTGCAGAATGAATGTGCTCCCCTCCCCCCATGCACACACAACTTCAAGTACTGTCCTGAAGATCTCCACTCAGCAAGTCCCTTTCCACATCCCTTCTACCTGGCAAGGCCAGACAGTAAATTAAATGGAGGAAAGATTTTAAAAGCAAAGAAGGTACTGGAAGCCTGAGCAGGACCTGCCAGGGAGCCACCACCACCACATCTCAGATCTCTCTCTCTCTCTCTCTCTCTCTCACACACACACACACACACACACACACACACACACACACACTTACTTCTGTACCCAGCATGGAGCTAGCTATAGGCGTGTGGATCTCTACGAGGCAGGATTCAGGCACCACTGAGCAGGCAGGCGGTGAGTTGGCCTTTTCTCTCCCCAGGGACATGCTATACTCAGGGAGCAGGGACAAATCTTAGCCAGGAAAAAAAAAAATGTCAGATCCAGAGGAGTTCTCCAGTTAGCTAAGCCAGAAAAAGGGCCCTCACCTAGTTAACCCTCCAAAAGGCCTGACTTTATAGTTAACAGTGGGGGGGGGGGCTCCCCACCCACCATGGGGCAAGTCTGGGTTCCCAGCAGCATCCAGCATCGGCTCAGGCAGCCTCTGGGTGGGTGTGGGTGTGTGTGTGTGAGAAAGGGGCCAGGGCTGTCTGGCTAGCGCGCGCACCACGGGCGCCCCTCTCTGGGTGTCGGTGGCTATGACTCCTAGGAGAACCTGCGAAAGTCCGGTCAAGTAAGAAATGAGAGAGACAAGAGCTGGCGTGGGGACCCCTTCTGGAGCTGGAACCCCAACATCCCGCGCCTAACGAGGGAGCTGCACACTCGGAGGTGACCAGCTCACAAGATACCACAACCCACCGTGGGCCAGAAAGCTCGCCACTCACTGTCTTGCCAGAGAAGGGGTACACTTTCCAAGAAGGGGTGCTGGGGCTCTTGGGGTGGCCGAGGCCAAGGCCAAGGCTTTGGAGGTTCCCTCCGTGGTTTAAAAAACAAAAATCAACGAAACAGCCAGTGCTGTGCTAAGGCCAGAAGGTCCGGGCCCGGGCAGCAGGTGTTTGGGATTTTCTTCCCTAGTGAGTGTCAGCTTCTGGCTAAATGAAAAATGCGGCTCCAGGCACAGGTTTCGACCCATCTCCACCTGGGCAGTCGGAACTTTCTAGGCTGTGGCTAGAGGTAAGCCACCAAGGGTGCTGTGAGGAAACCGATAGGGAACCAATTGAGGCCAGTAGCGTCCACTGAGGAGTGGAGGTTTGAGAGCCTCCCTCGCGACCTGTACTCTGCAGCCACACGTCGGGAAGTTCCGGGACTCTCCGAGCCCGCCAGGTCTGCCCTCCTCCTGGACTCGATTGCCCGGAGCGGGTCCCGCCGCCCGCGCCACCGCTGCCGCAGCCCGGGCGCTCGGCTGCAGCAGGGCGCGGGAAAGGGCACTTTGGCGCGGAGTGGAAACCGAGAGGAAGGTGGCGGCGCAGAGCCTGGCGGCGACACCCCCTCCTCCGCCCCGGGGCATAACCCCGGCCCCGAGTCCTCCCTCCTCCTCCAGCCCCCACCTGTGCCCTCCTGCGAAGATTGCGCGGGACCCCCGACCAGGGCGCGCCCGGCCACCTGCGCCTCCCACTCCCATCGGAGCGCGGAGGGCGGAGGACATTTGGGGAGGGGGGTGGCGGCCGCAGTCTCCAGACGGCTCAGGAGGGGGGCAAGGGCTAACGACCGAGCAAACGGGTGGGGGCAGGGGAGGACAGACCCCCGCAGACGCGGATACGCCGAGGGGGCGCGCCGCTCCGCGCCAGCCCCCAGGACGGGCGTGCCAAGCAGAATGGGGAGCTGGGGGAGTAAGGCTCCCGGAAAGTTTATCGGGGAAAAGCCGGGCACCTGGGGGGCTGGGCGCCCCCCAGGTCCAGGCGCCTTCGCAACCCCGGGCGAGGATGTCAGTCTCCCAGCCCCCCCCCACACACACACCTCCCCTCCCATACACACACACCGGCCAGATCCGGCCAAGTTGCGGCTGGGGTTGGGGAGAGCCGTGAGGGTGGGGGGCGAGGACGCGGTGGAGGCGGGGAGGTGGGATGGCGGATCCGGGCAGACACGAGCGAGAATGAGGAGGGTTGGCAACTGGGGGGAGGGTGGGGGGCGGGGGAAGGGACTGGGACCGCGTCGGAGCTGGGTGGGCTCGGGGCTCGGGTGGGGCGCGCGGCGGCCGCTGGCTCCCCGGCTCCCCGGCACGGCCGGACTTACCCGCGGCGGCCGAGGCGCTCAGCAGCCCCCAGCCCAGGAGCAGCAGCAGCGGCGGCGGCGGCGGCGGCGGCAGCAGCGGTATTGGGCGGCCCCAGCGGCTCCCCGCGCCCGGCACGAGTGCCGAAATCCCGGCTTCGCCGAGAGCCCTCCCCGCGGGGCAGCCGCAGCGCCCCAGCTCCCGTCCCCGCGAGCGCGGCATGGCGCGGCCGGCAGCCCGAGGGAGAGGCTCCGCTCGCCGCCGAGGAGAAAGGAGGTCAGGAGAGCTCGGGAGCTTTTTTTTTTTTTTTTTTTTCCTCTGCTCGGGGAAAAAAAAAATCCCGGTACGCGGGAGCCCTGAGCTTCTGCGGCTGGAATGAACCAAGTGTCCGCCCGGCCGGGGAGAGGCGCGCTGCGCTCTCGGAAATGACTCGCTCCAATCCCGCTTCGCGGGGTTCGCGCCGGGGGGCGGGGGGGGGGGGGTGAATTATCCCCGGATTAATCACTCCGGAGCCGCTTCTCCGCCGCTCCAAAGGCTGGGGGTGGAGGTGTAAGCCAAGGGAGGGGAAAAAATATATATATTGGGGTGGGGGGTGGGAGGGAGGCTCTTCCTCAGCGCCACCTCCACCTCCAGAGAAACCACAAATTACATCTAAAGGATTGTTTATTCCTGTTTGTTTTACCATGGACCGGTGTCTTCTCTTTAAGTTCAGTCCTCGGGTTTTCTTATAAGATCACCATGGATAAGACAACCCCCCACCATGCACACACAAACACACGCACAGTTGACACACACGCACGCACGCATACACTCACGCACATACACACATGCCTCTTCCACGTTTGGAAATTGAAATGCTGTCTGGGAACGGTAACCAAAAATAAATAAATAAATTTTTTAAGACGCGTTTCCTCTCCAAGTCGTGGCTTTTCGGAGCTGATTATAGGCAGTGGTGGTGCTGGTGGTTTTGAACTTGCAACCTTGGGCTTCGGAGGCGACGCCTAAGCGCCTCATACACCATAGCCTCTCGTACCCCTTTCCAGGATAGGGGCGTGTGTATGTAGTTGGGGTTAAGAATTGGTGGGGGGGGGGACGGGGGAAGTCACCTGTTCCTTGAACCCCAGGTTGCTCCTACCCTAGCTTAAGACAAACATCTCTGGGTGGAGAAGAGCGGCTATGTGCGCGGGGTTGGGGGTGGGGAATGAGGTTGTTTGGATGGCTGTGCGTGAGTTACTTGTACAATTTATCCTCACATTAAATAACCAGACCCTCTGATCCCCCTCTCCTCCATCCTCTCCCAGCCTAGGCTCCAAAATCAAGCGAGTTTCTCCTGAAAATCGGAGCCATTTCTCCCCCCCCTTCCCCCTCCCTCCTTGGCAGCGACTGCCTCCAAACCCCAAGGGCTCGGCCCAGGTCCCCACCCCATCCCCCACCCCGACTCGGCTGCCGTCTCTGTCTGGTCTCTCTACCCTCGGCTCCTCCGCCAGTCACGATGGCTCCTGCGCTGTCTACGCCAAACTCTCCGGCAGCGCGCAGAGACGCTGGGGAGCTGGGGCCGGGGGTGGGGGGCGGAGGACGCAGGAGGGGACCGCGAGCTGCCAGGCCCGCGGAGGAGGCCCCGGCTGGCGGCTGGAACGCGTGCGGCGGAAAGGCACCTGCGCAGGGGCGCTCCTACCCCCTCGCCAGGGGCACCCAGGAAAGGTGCTTTAAGGGACTCGCAGAGCCGCCTCGCGATTTGCCCAAAATCCGAGCTCCGGCATCTCCAAAGGCTCCGCGGACAGTAGCGGGGTGACCGGACAGGGGTATTTCCCCATGTGGAAGGGCGAAGAGAGAGACTTCGGGGGTGGCAAGCCTGGGCTGGCGGGGGAGGGGAGACCCCAGAGGGCCCGCGATCCTTGGGGGTGTATCCGGAGGGATGTGCTGCTGGGCTACGGTGGTATTGGGGAGGTCAGGGTTGGCGACCCAGGTTGGAGGAGTGGGGGCAGGGCCAGCAGAGTGGACCTCTTTTCCATCCTCTACTCCAAACTTGCTCTCCAGGCCCTCACTTTCGCCGCGTGCTTGCTGCGGGTCTTCCTCCCTCCTCCCTACCCCAAGATGTTCCGGTTTCCCAGTATGAGCTCATCTCACAGCTGGGGAGTTCGCCCGCCCCGTGGGTGCCCTCCCCCCCCCCCACCCCCGGGCAGGACAGACGCCTCAGAAATGCAGGCCCCATCCCCACCCCCAACACATTTGCTTTCACGCCCCTCCCAACACCGCCTAGCTGGGTGCCAAGAACCAGCCCAAGCAGCCAGAAAGCCTCAGTGAAAGGCCTGCTTTATATTGCTGGAGCAGTGGGGAGGGGGCTTTTTCTTCCCATTGTCCAACCCCAGCCCCTGAAAGACAGCAGCCAGTAGCCACTGGCCAGGCCTGCCCACCAGCCCTGGAGAGGGAGTGCAGCCAAGAGTGGATGTTGGCCTAAGGGCTGTTGCTTGGGCCTGGTCTGGTTGGGATAGGCGCAAGGCTCCTAACCTTGGACCTTCCCCCTCTCTTGAGGTCCAGGTTCTCCTTCAGAGAAAGGAACTGGCAGTGATGCCCAGGCCCTCTCTGAAGCCCACAGCTGGGCAGAAGAGAGTCTGTAATTGTGCAACTGCCAGCCAGTGGATTTTCCCCTACCCAGAAATCTGCTCTGTGAGTACAACTGGCTGATGAGGTTTACCCTAATACCCTCCCTGGCAAAAAGGAGTTTGTCAGCCTTCTTCCTAGGGGATATGAAGGGGAGGGGCACCCTTTTCATGCCTGCAAACGACCCAGTTCCTCACATCCTCCACCACTGGTTCTCCCTCTGATCTATTTGGGTCCACGCATGGTGACTGACCCCCTCCTGTGCTCTGGGCCTTGAGCTCAGCTGTGCTGCGAGCCATGCAGAGAAGCAGTGTGCAGGCCTGATTTGGGAAGGAAGGAGGCTGGGCAGAAGTGAAAACTCACCTCCCCAAAACATCCATAAACCCCATGGCATACTACATAAAGCCATGTAGCAAGACACTGAAGTTTTTTTCTGGCCCTTAAAAGGATCAGAAGGCCAATTTAAGGAGACAAGAGGATTTGAGCTGGACCCTGCATCCCAGATTAAGACTTAAACCAGGTGAAGATTCATTTACTCAATAAATATTTATTGAGTATCATTATGTGTCCAGGTGCTTTGCTAGATAAGTAGTAACAGTGTAGTGAACAGTCCTTGACTTCATGAAGGCAGGTATTAAGTAAAAAATGCATAAATATCTAATTAAGGATGTTAATGAAGGAAAAGTTCATATTCAATGAGCGAGTATGAGACCAACTTAACAGGATGTTCTGGGAAGATCTTTGATGAGGTGACCTTGAAGGTGGGATCTAAAATGAAGCAAGATAGACCTGCAAAATGATTTTAAAAGGCCTTGGCAGATCCAGAGCACGGGGGAAGACCTTAAATAAGGAAGGGCTCCAGGTGGAAAAGAGTAGTGGTGCCAAATCAAGGTGAGCAAGGGAGAAATGCCTAGTAGATAAGGGAGGGGCTGAGGCCAGTGTTCATCCTTTGGGGTCTCATAGGGGGTAGGGAGGAGTGTAAGGATTTTGTTCTGAGACAGTGGGAAATAGAAAGTGTGTTAGCTTGTTAGGACTGCCACAACCAAGTGACACAGGCCTGGTGGCTTACCCAACAGACATTTTTTTCTTCAGTTTTGGAGGTCCCCAAATAAGGTGTCCATAAAGTTGGTTTCTGTCTGATATCCATGACTTACACCTGTAATCCTAGCTACTCAGGAGGTTGAGATCTGAGGATCATGGTTTGAAGCCAGACAAGGCAGACAAATCCTTGAAACTCTTCTCTCCAATTAACCAACAAAAAAACTGGAGGTAGAGGTATGGCTCAAATAGCAGCAAACAGCAAAAACAACAAGCAAGAACTTGAAGATCTGAGCTCAAGCCCTAGTATTTGTGTACAGGTGCAGATGCACGTGCATGCACACATGCACGCACACACGTTTCCTTGAGCTTGTAGTTAGCTATCTTCATATAATCTTCTATGCAAAGATCTATGTCCTAATGTCCTCTTCTTTCTTTTGTCGTTCATGGGGGCTGAATTTTGTGCCTGGGTGCTGACCCTCAGCTCTTCAGCTCAAGGCTAGGGCCCTACCACTTGAGCCACAATACCACTTCTAGCTTTTTTCTGCTTATGTGGTGCTGAGGAATTGAACCCAGAGCCTCATGCATGCAAGGCAAGCACTCTACCACTGAGCCACCTTGCCAGCCCCCCTAATGTCCTCTTCTTAAAAGACAACAATCATTTTGGAGTAGGTCCCACCCTAATGATCTCATTTTAACTTAATGACTTCTTTAAAGATTATCTCTCTAAATGCAGTCATGTACTGAGGGTACTGAGGATTAAGACTTCAATGACTTCAATATATGAATTTGGGGGAGAGGTACAATATAGCTCTTTATTAGAAAGAGGAGAGTGAACAGATGCCAGACAGAATATACAATGTAGAGAATTATCTGTTGGGACTGAGGATGCCTTAGTGGTCATTTGCAGTAAGTGCATGCATAAGGCTCTGCCAGGATTGTGGATAGCAAGACTGCCTTACCAGCAGATACTCTTGGGAAAAATGGATATAGCACTGGTCTAAGAAGTATATTTTTGCCAGGTGCCAGTGGTTCACGCCTGTCATCTTAGGTTCTCAGGAGGCTGAAATCTGAGGATCCAGGTTTGAAGCCAGCCTGGACAAGGAAGTCCATAAGACTTACCTCCAATTAATCACCAAAAACACAGAGGTGGAACTTGGCTCACATGGTAGAGTATAAGCCTTGAGTGGAAAAAGCTAAGGAATAGCACCCAGGCCCTGAGTTCATGCCCCTGTATCAGCACAAAAACATGTTTAAATTTTTTTTATTTTATTTTATTGTAAAGATGCTGTACAGAGAGGTTACAATTACATCAGTAAGGCATTATGTTTTCTAGCCAGGTGTCGGTGGCTCACACCTGTAATCCTAGCTACCCAGGAGAGTGAGATCTGAAGATCAAGGTTCCATGAGACTTATCTCCAATTAACCACCAGAAAATCAGAAGTGGTGCTGTGGCTCAGTGGTAGAGCACTATTGAGCTGAAGAGCTGAGGGACAGTGCCCAGGTCCAGAGTTCCAGCCCCATGACAAAAATATATATTTTTTTCTTTCCTAGGCAATGGAGCCAAGTGGTGCAGTGTGGCTTCTTTATGGAAAAT